AGAGTTACTCCTTCCTGTATTAACCCTAAAACATTAAGAAAATGCTAAAATTAAAAGATTAAGTTAAATAGTTTTTACTTAATTATTTTATTGGACAATCATCAAAACTTTTGACGCAGAGGGGAACTCATGATAAGACAAAATACCCAAAGGGGAACACAAATCAAAAAAGATTGGGAAACACTGCTCTGAATATAATAATAATAAAAAAAAATATATATATATATATATAATATATTATTCTGTCTGCCCCCTCCCCCGTGTCCCAGCATGTGTGTGTGGACTGTAAGAAGAACTACTGCAGCCATTGCTCCGCCCAGCAGGGGCTCCGGCCCCGCCTCTGTCACACCTGTCAGCGTTTCTATGGGAACCTGCTGGAGCGGGCGGAGCTGATGAAGCTGAAGGTGAAGGAGCTGAGGGACTACCTGCACCTGCATGAGGTCTCCACTCACCTGTGCAGAGAGAAGGTGACAGTGAACCAATCAGAGAGAAGCTCTGCCCCAGTTTCAGCTTCCAGTTAAACCAGTGCTTTCTGTACTTCAGGAGGAGCTGGTGGAGCTGGTCCTGAGTCAGCAGTCGTCACCGTCCGGTAGCTCCGCCCCCGACATCCAGATACCTGACCTTCCCACCGTGACCTCTGACCCTGATGACCAGGCGCCTCGGATCTCGGTCTCTGACACGTCTTCTGATGGATCGAGCCCTTCCCCGCCCACTCCAGAGCCTGAAGCTCCGCCCCTAACTTCAGACACCGCCCAGTCTGACCCTGAGCTGGAGGAGGACGACCCGGTAAGGCCTTTTGATGGTATTAGATATTTTCTCTGGTTCTGTTTCAGCTGACTCACCCGTCCTTCCCTACCTACGCGTTTCAGGCCTGGGATGCGGAGGAGGCCCCCGTCTCCGGGCGCAGGGCCTCGCTGTCGGACCTGAACAGCGTTGACGACATCGAGGAGCTCAGCGTCCGGCAGCTGAAGGAGATTCTGGCCCGGAACTTTGTGGACTACAAAGGCTGCTGTGAGAAGTGGGAGCTGATGGAGAGGGTGACCCGGCTGTACCAGGACCAGCAGAACCTGCTGGGTGAGTAACAGCAACCCGTTACAACATTGCTCCATTCTGATCCCACCTGAGTGGGTTTAAACAGGAAGTGGTTGATCAGTGGTCGCTGAACCTGATTGGATGTTTGATGATGTCACTGCTTTTCTGTTTCAGCGGCCAACTTTGTGAATGCTACAGGTGAGTTTGCTTCTGACTGTCGGATCAAACGGTTTTGGGGTCGTTTCCTTAAACTGTCCTCTTGCTACCGCAGGTGGCGGCGGCGGGCCGGCGCCGGGCGTGGAGGAGAACCTCTGTAAGATCTGCATGGACTCTCCCATCGACTGCGTCCTGCTGGAGTGCGGTCACATGGTCACCTGCACCAAGTGCGGGAAGCGGATGAGCGAGTGTCCCATCTGCCGGCAGTATGTCATCCGGGCCGTGCACGTCTTCCGGTCCTGAACCGGTACCGGTCTTCATCTCTTCCTCTGCAGAACCCAGCGCCTTTTAAAACAATAAATCAGAGCCAGTTCCTCCCGAAGAGATTCATAATTTCATCCTCTTTCCTCTGCTACGATTGAAGATGTCGGTACGACTGTGACTCCGTCAGATCGGACCTCCAGGCTGTGGCGCTGCTGTGGTAGCCCAAATGGACCCGAACCCGTTTGCAGGATCAGGAGCAGGGCTCCTAAAGCTGCTCGGACTCTTCATTTTGCCTTAACCTGAATATAGACTGAGCAGGTGGTCTCTGCCGGGTTCTGGAGTCGTTCAGGTTACTTTAACGGTCAGAACACCGTTTAGTTTCCATGTTTCTGGGTTCTTCTGCCTTCCAAGTGCCTTTTTAGGGAAGCGTCTCTACATTCCAGCTTTAACTGTGCTGTTCGGAGAAGGCCCATTTAGCTGCTTTGTTTTGGTATCACTGGGGGTCGGTTAGCCTTTGTTACCATTACTTTTCCTACACCTCCATGAGTGTAAGAGTTATTAGTGATTCATTGAGAGCTTATCTAAATACCCAAAAAGACGCCATAGAGCTTTAGGTAAACCCCCCTTTAAAAACGGTCACAAATAGTTGGACAATACCTGAATGCTTCAGGATTTTCTTCCATTTTCTAGTTCTTCTTCAATCGCAGTTTAAAATGGAGAATTCTTTTTTTTCATTTTTTTGTTGCAGGAAGTTCATATTCTGGGAAATTTTCAGAAACTTTTCTGATTTGAACTTTTTTTAATCATATTTCTCCCAACAGTTTTACTGTCCAATCAGAGCCCAGAGTGTAGACACGGCTAGCCTCATTCACAGCCAGGAGTTTTTTTCTCCTTGGTGCTCAGAATATGTCCCATATAAGGTTCTGACATTTGGATCCGAATTACTCTGATACTCCTGGAGCTTCTCACACACTGACAGCTTCAACTCTAGTTTCTCTGTGATGAAAAGAGTGGTGCTGTGGGCTTCTCTTCCACACTGGTGCCTAGGGTAGGAGGAAATCGCCATGGCAACCATTCTCTGCTCCTAAAAGTCTCTTCTGTAATAAAAGGACTGGAACCAGCTGGATACCAGGTGCGCTGTGTAGCCCTGCCCCCAGCTTCAGATGACTGGTTCAGCTACAGGATGAAAGGCTGCTTTTCACATTTTAAGCTCATGTTTTTAGTTGGAGGAAAATCCAAAGCAGGGTCTAAGTCTTTTATGTATTTATAATTAATAAATTAGATTTAATGTATTTTTTCTGGAGATACAGTGAAGTGTCCTACGTCTAGAGTCTAACCTCTTACAACTGATAGGGAATTATTGGGGAGAAAGGGAAAAACGACAGCTGGTCAGCAGAGAACAGGATCACTGCACGGCCAGCAGGGGGCAGCAGAGGCTGCCGAGCCTGTGGGCAGAGATTATGACAGGAGTTCAAAGGGAATAAAGTGATGATTTCTGGGAAGGTTGAGGCTGTGTTCTGTCAGATCAGCATACTCCATCAGACCAGCATACCCATAGTTGATACATATGTGCAAGACGTCAGTCAGATTTGCGTTTATCCCTTTAGTTTTGTTCGAAAAATAGACTTAAAACTACCTAAACAGGCGTGTATCACTTTAGTCATGTCCAAAAAAAGCTATTAAAGGTCAGATCATCATACTTAAAAAAAAAAAAACAGAAGTAAGCAATTAAATTGTTTTTGTTTTTGTTTACATGACTAAAGGGATACATGCCTCTTGAGGTAGTTTAAAGTTTATTTTTCATACAACAATAAAGGGATAAACAAAAAAGATAATCTAAAGGGATAAACAGGTATTGACTATGACTATGCTGGTCTGACTGTGTATGCTCATCTGACAGAACAACAGATCAGCAGTTTCTTCCTGCTCCGGATCTTTAGGAACCAAGAGATTCTGCTGAATGTTTGTTTAAATCTAACAGTTGATTTTATGATGTTTACCAGCAGCATGTGTGAAGTTTTTTTCTTCTGTTTGCACTAAAACCTGTTGATGCTTTAACACTTAAAGCTTTTTCTTTGGGTTTAATTTTTTTTTTTTTTTGTGTGAATATTCTGGATTTTCTGTGTGAGGTGTGTTTTTTTGTTGTTGATTTTTTTCTTTGTTTGATCTATTGTTTCTGCCTGCTGGGATGGATCAGCTCAGGTCATTAATCTGTGGTATGGCAGATGAACTGATCTTGGCACCAAGTGTGTGGCCCCGAATGCACAGGTTTGAAACCTCCTCAGATACTCTAAATGTAGCTGGAAACTATATGAATTCCATATTTTGATTTTTCTGGAATCAGTGAAAGAGATTTTAGTTAATGGAGAGAGCTTGGAATAAATTTCTAATGAAACTGAACCAAATGAACACTGTCTCTTTTATGCATTTACACCTGGATCCAGAATGAGTGTTGGGAGCCTCTGAAACACCAAGCTGCTATTTTAAACCCCCTATCATCTGATTCACAATCCAAAGCATGTTTTTTTAAAATTCCTTTATTTTCAATGGATGGAGATGGATGTTAAAACTGATCAAAGATACACAAATAACAGTATACTCTGGCGTTGTGGTCATAGAAGAGTTTAGCATAATGGTTAAATAGCAGTTCACCTGTTTTGTCACTAGATGGCAGCCATATGCTTTATTAGTGATTGCTAAGATCTGATTATTTTCTGTTTCAGGTTTATTGAGTTTTTCAGATTAACCGAATTAAAAAACAAAATCTAGAATAAACATTTGAGTTTAAAACTATAGTTTGATATGAAATAGATAACATTCCTACTGGAATTTGGTAACTGCTGAAGTTCTGGCAGCTTTCCTGCCATTTTAGGGACTGCTAGCACTGTTAGCTTTAAGGTGATGTAAGTAAACCACATTTGGTTACAGAACAAACGCATTAAAACTGCTGGTTAAGATTCTCAGTCATCCAGGTCATAGTCATTCCAAAAAATGTTTTTAAAAAAAACATTCCACTGGACTTTGTTTCCAAGTTTGAAGACATTTCGCTTCCCATCCAGGAAGCTTTTTCTATTCAAAATGTCAGAAATTGTGTTGAGTTCAAGGCTTTATACCATAGCCCAACAATGCCTTGTTTTTATTTTTGTTTAGAAAATGTGCTAATTGAAACGGACGACGTTTCCACCCCTTTGGTATGGGGATCATTTGGCTTCTTTTATTAGCCTGCAATGCCCCATACCTGTCTATGTCTCTGCAAGGGGGGCGTTAAAGGGGATTGTTGGTCTAGCTGAAAAGGTGAGGTCTTTTTTTTTTTTTCCCTGCAAGGGGTTGGGTTGCGATGATAGCAGAAAGGGCTATATGTATGTATGTATGTATATATATATATATATATATATATATATATATATATATATATATATATATATATATATATATATATATGGTTAGGGTTACTGAGATCCAACTGGAAAAATGCAAATGCATGAAACAGACTGTTTTCATGCATTTGTTCATTATGACATTTTTTTCTGCATGCAGTTAATTAAAAGAGAACATTAGAATATACATCAGAAAACCAATTTCAGACATAAATGTGGACTTAATAAAAGTTTGTTGAGCATGCTTGAATATTATCTTTAAAATGTACCCATCCCTCTTCTTGCTCCTTCTTTTCATTAATTTTCAACTTTAAACATTCAGCTTTTCTCTTTTTGCCTTTATAAGGATTTGAGCTGTGCTTCCCTGATGATCAGATTTCACTTCAGTCATTCAAGCTTACATTATCTTGTTACATAAAAAATATTCTGGTAATTCTATTAGTTTACTTTTATTTTTATTTATTTATTTATTTGTATTTATTTTATTATCTTACTTTTATATATTTTATAGATTTCGTTTTTTTATTACCTTCATTATTGGTGGGTTTCTCGATAGAACAAAAGGAGTGATTTGTCATCACAGAACATGTTGATAAGCCAAAAATGAAAAAGTTGGGACTCTTTATGTCCAATTTAGACAGGGGGAAAAATTAAAGCAGAGACAGACAGCCTGATAGAATCTAAAGCAAACTCTATGGTTGATGCAGTTCAATCCCAGTGTCTAATCCTAATCTGAAGAATATTCTTATGCTGGATGTGTAGAGTTGATGGTTGATACCAATTCTGTCAATATGGGATGAAATAAAATAGCTGATGTTAGAACAAAGACTGTTTATTAAGGATTGTACAACAGAAAAATTATAAGTTAATATAAACACAAATATAGATTTAAGTACTAAATTTCACATAGGAAAAAGTAATTTCCCTACTGGCCTTTAATGATTACACGTACACTCCATTTTCTATTTCATTTTTATTAAAAGTGAAACGAGATTTTAAAAGGACTAAACACTGCTGTCAGTGTTTTGTAGCAAACAATCGTGTTTTCTCTTTTTTTTTTATCAGTATCACTGGTGGTATTCTGCTATAACATGTGAAGGGAAGAATAAAACAGAAAAGCTCATCTTTAATAAACAAAACACTTTTCAAATGTCACGTTCAGTACGTTGAAGCTCTTCCTGCTCCGCGCGCGCTCCCGACGAGGGGATAGAAACGTTCTCAGGGATAAAAACCTTGGCATGACAGCGGCACCTGATTGGCTGGCTGTTGGTCCAATGGGCGGAGCTCAGTTTGAACCGCCGTCCCGCCTCCTACATAAGTATCAGATTTCCTGCCACCATCATGGTCGCTAGCGGAAACTTTTTGTAAAACAAACGTAGTAACCGTTGGAGCTAACAAAAAAATAAGCGTCGTCTCTAGTCTTTACCCAATTCTATGGGATGTTGGAAGTCGTCTCTTTTTGTTAACCGACTTGTTTTTTAAAGTTTAGCTGCTGATATGGCTGACAGAGCGGACCGGAGGAGGCAACCAGCGGGGCGGAGGAGCCGGCAGATCCAGCCGAGGAAGGGCTCCGTCAGCCGGGTACGGGCTACGCTGTAGCGCTTAGCATCCAGGACCGTTAGCTGGTTCTCTGTTAGGGCTGGAAAACCTTTAATAACCCCATGTTTCTAAAACCGATCGATCCGCTGAGGTTAAGCTGTATAAAACTATTTAAAAAAAAGGATAAAGAAAGTGCTTGATTGCAGCAACAAGCTAATGTTTATACAAACAAAAAAATATATAAGTTAGCGGTGTTTGAAGTTAACTCACTCTGCGGGTTTTGGAATGATTTTAAAAAGTTGTTACTCCGTTTTAAAGAGGTTTTTCCATCTGAGAGCAGTTTTTTTGTTGTTGTTTTGTTTCCACTGAGCTCCTGCAATGGTCCCAGAATCAAAACAAACCAGCTTTACTCCGTTTTAACAAAGAAAAAAATGCTTTTCCTGTCTTTTATCCTCCCCCTGGGTTCATTAGACACCATAAATTCCCTTGGAAGCCATCGATATTCAATTTATCAATAGATTTATCCTTTCTTTCCTCAGCAATGCCCTTTTGAACTCTACATTTTGAGTCATGCATTTTGTAAACTGTCCTGTCTGGTATTTAAACAGCAGAAGTGTTTTGGACTTTAAAGTGAAGCTGATCTAATCTAATCATTTCAAATAGTGGCATAGCACACAATTGGAACTAGTTTATTTCTATAGCGCCAATTTACAACACATTAATCTCAAGGCACTTTACAGTTCATCAGATCATACAGTAAAATTGATTCAAAGTTTTCTATCTAAGGAAAACCAGTTGATTGTATCGACTCATTGACTCTTCAGCAATCCCTCACACTAAGCATGCTTGTAGCGACAGTGGAGAGGAAAAACTCCCTTTTAACAGGAAGAAACCTCCAGCAGAACCAGGCTCAGTGTGAGCGGCCATCTGCCGAGGCCGACTGGGATTCAAGGAGACAGAAGCAGAGATACAAAAAGCAGCTGTAAAAGGCGGCCCCGTCCAGGAAACACACAGCCAGGCAGACGAGTTCCAAGCCAGCTCCTATGTCAGAGGATGAAGAGAACACATCAAACCAGTCACAGTCAGAGAAACAGGACTACACTGAAAAACAGGCCGATCTCCAGCATCTATAAACAAAGGTGTTGATGGCAGCAGCCCAGCTCAGATTTCTCTCCAGTATGGTGTCACTACCAAACAGGAACAGACCAGATGAAGCTACTATGACAAAAAGAAGAGAGAGCAGAACGTTAGAGATTGAACTAACAGATTCTGCAGAGTGTGAGAATAGAGAGAATGAATCAGAGTGATGAAATAGGGGTCCCTATGTCCTCCAGAAGTCTAAGCCTATAGCAGCATAACTATAGAGATGCTCAGGATAACCTGAGCCACTCTAATATTGTAGCATGGCATACACTATTCGTGTTTGCAGTTTGAAGAACACCTGCTTGCTTCTGATGATTTCCTTTAGCTAACCAATGAGTGTTTGCATTATATGAGTCATCCAATTAAAATAGTTTTCACTAGATGTTGATGGCGCCAATGATCTGCATTGGATGGCGCACATGACGTGAAATAAATATTTATAAACATTAAAATGAAGCCAAGAGTAACGAGTAAAGTTTGTTTTAAAAATGTAAGGAATAGAAAGTACAGATACTTGTATGAAAAATGTAATGAATAGAAGACAGAAGTAGGAAGAAAAAGAAGTAATGGAGTAAAGTATAGATACCTAAAAGGTGTACTTAAGTACAGTAGTGAAGTATTTGTAGTTCGTTAGTTGACATCTCTTTATCTAACGATCTGCTGTTTGTTTCAGGTCACCCTGGAAAAGGTTCTTGGAATCAGTACAGTCGGCAGCAGCTTTCTGACCTCTGACCCCGTTTCTGGGCGTATCGCCTATCCTGCAGGGTAAGCCCCCCCCCTTTTTTTTTTCTTCAATCGTTGTGACGCATCAGGTGGCCCTACAGGAAGCTGACTGTTGCTCCCGTTTCAGGTGTGTAGTGGTGCTGCTTCACCCGCAGAAGAACGTACAGAGTCACATCATCAACACGTCCAGGAAGCCCTTCACTGCGCTGGACTTCTCCCATGATGGGAAACACCTGGTCACTGGAGAGGTGAGGGACTAACTGGATCAAGTAATGCAGGGAAATGCAACAGAACCAGCAGGTTTGACTCTTTGGGTCTGTTGTTCCAGAGCGGCTACATGCCCTGCGTTCGGGTCTGGGAGGTCGACGGAGGTCAGGTGGCCAAAGTCCAGGCGCATAAGTACGGAGTGTCCTGCGTGGCGTTCTCCTCCACCAGCTCCTATGTGGTTTCTGTGGGATTCCAGCACGACCGGACCATTAGCGTGTGGGACTGGAGGGTGAGGATAAACATGGTCTACTTAAAACGCCCAAGTTCTCAATGTTCAGTCTTTCATCTGTACATTTGTTTAAAGGGAAGATCCAAAGTAGAATCGTCCACTTGGAGAATTAGGTCTACCTTCAGACTGCTACCACCTGTACAACCTTATCCATTTCTTTTTTTTTTTGTTTTTTTGACTTTTTTAACAGCACTAGTTGCTTGTTTCTCTGACAGTAGGCTGACAGGAAAGGCGGTATGAGAGAGGGGGAGAGACATGCGGGAAAGGACCACAGGCCTCCGTGCATGGGTCGTGCACGCCAACCACTCCGCCACCTAAACAACCGTATCCATTTCTTTCTGAGTGATAAATACCGGATCCTGGTGTTTGTTTTCCACCTCAGGTTCTGTTGTTTTTAGCTCCAGAAATGAAAAGCTGCTAATAGTAACGTCATTGCTGATGAATTTCCATTCTGAGGCAGAGGCAGTGCACACACCTCAGAGGATCTCATTGCTGCTGAGTGCAAGTAGCCTCCTGGGGTCCCCTACCATTACAATAGATTAAAAAATCTCTTTATTGTCCCACAATGGGGAAATAGTGGTGTTACAGCAGCAAAAGCATTACAGCAAAAGTGGTCCCACAAATGTGTACTTCCCTGATTTCTGTCGCACTGGTGACGTCATCAAAGCCTGCGTGTCGTCGTCAGACACGCAGCTGAGGGGGACAGTGGCCACACAGCTTGACAGCAGAGGATCAGAATCTCCTTTATGGTCAAATGGAAAAAGAGCCAAAAGCAGAGTGTTAGCGGGTCAACCCGGTTTTAAAAAACCCGGGTTTTTAGCGGGAAAGCGGATTTAGGGTCATTTTGTTTCTCACCTCCTGCACTGAGTCCAGAGGGCATCCAATCACAGAGCTGGCCTTCCTCAGCAGCTGATCCAGCCGCTTCCTCTCAGCTAAAGAACTGACCGCTCCATAGAAGATGGCTGATGCCACAACAGAGTTATAGAAGGTCTTTAGGAGTGGCCCCTGCACTCCCAAAGACCTCAGCCTCCGCAGCAGGAAGAGTCTGCTCTGACCTTTCTTATACAGAGCCTCATTGTTGTGAGTCCTGTCCAGTTTATTGTTCAGATGGACACCTAGGTACTTATAAGAGTCCACTATCTCAAAGTCTGTTCTCTGGATGTCCACCGGTGTCAGTAGGGTGGATCTGCTACGCGAAAGTTCACCACCAGCTGCTTGGTTTTCACTGCATTAATCAGGAGGTGGTTCTGCTGGCATCAGTCCATCAAGTTCTGGGTCCACTGTCTGTACTCGGAGTCGTTCCCCCATATTATGAGACCAAGCAGGCAGCGTGGGGAGTTGATGGAGAAGGGAGGTGTGAAGTACCAGGGAGAACAGGAGTGGCGACCTAGCAGTTCATTAAGGGGCTTTGGTAGTGAGGGCATCCCTTGGATATTGTTGCATGTTTGAAAAAAAAGTATAACAATTTCCCATTAAAGCAATGACCAACAATCCTGATCCCCATTAACCTCTTCTACCTAAAACGGACTGATTCCCTTCATCACATGAAACATCCTGTGATGCATGAGCAGAAACCTGCATTGTGTTTAAATGGCTTCATTTCTCACAAAATAAGTAAAAAAAAAGTAAAAGAAAAAACAAAACAAAACAAAGAGGCAATATAAACCATATATGGTGAACCCTGTCACTGATAAATAAATAACAATAAACAAACATACAGTTTCTGGTTCAGTGCCATGCATCAGAACTCGACCATGACTGAGAAGAAAAAAAAGACTGAATAAGTGGCATCCGTGCAGATGCAGCAACATGCAGACATGTTCAGGCCGGGGCTATTGGCCTGCATCGTGCATCACATAGAAAAAAAACAACTTTTACCAGAACAATGAGGGGAAAATGGGCTACCTCTGCACCGCCACTCTGGCAGATGCTGTGGAGTTCTTTAGCTGTGCGGCGCAGCTCCATATCTTTAGTTGAGGCAATCAGTGGAAAAAGTGGACCGACTCAAACCCCGAACAACATGGATACTAAAATAATCAAATGATCAATATCTTCTGAACAAAAACAGCATTTGGCTTTTGATCTATAAATTTAATTTGAATTTATAATAAGTGGGAAAATATTAAAATATAGTGATATTGCAATATTATGATATCCTTTTGTGACCCAAGTATCGAATCGAAACACCCATGCCAATACTCACCCCTACTCAGACCAGAATATTGGCAGGCCGACGCATCGGTCCCTTTCAGGACCAGGCGGCATCACGAACAGAAGTACGACATGAGACGCATGCTATATATGCTTTAAAACAAACTCTCTGCCATGATTGATTCCACCACTGTCACCCGCTGCTATAAAAAGCTCTGTTTTTGTGACTAACAAGGGAAAATTCTGCCTGCGGTGCCGGCGGGTCACATGCATCCAGCTGATGTGAGTCTGCCACAGGATAGAAGCTGAAGCTGTTGTAGATGATTTTAGCATCAGACACAGATGGCTGAACTTCTGTCTGCAACAACGGCACAGGACAGGAGGGAGAACACTACAGTGTCTGTAAGAAGGCTGAGTTTTAAAATATCTTCATTGTGGATAAACAAACCGGATGATATTTTAGAACATTATAGTATCGGCTGATTTATTGGTACGTTCAGCAGCCATGTCATGCGCATGCCCTGCTGCTCCCTCCGTTTGTTTGATTTGTTTAAAGTCTGAGGGAAGTCATATTTAAATTTGAAATCATTCTGGTTTAACAATATATTTAAATGTAATCTTTATCAGACCATATTGTCTCAAAAGTTAGAAAATTTCTATTTAAAAAACATCCTGTCTTTAAAATATCTGTTTTTTTACTTTATCTTCTGCAGGCCACTTAGTTATACGTCAGCTTGTACACCTAAATTCGCCCAATCATATATCAACGGTCATCTGTCAATCAAATTTTTTCAGTCAGCTAATATACGCAATGGTTGAAATAAGATTAATTTACTTTCCCATTGAGTTCCATCCCAGTGTTCACGGGGATGGACGTCTGTGTCTTCAGCAGGCGTAGAGCTAACAGAACTGGCAGCGTTGCGAGGCAAGGGCTCAAACATGTACGGCTGGAAGCCTTCTACACCAAACCAAGCTTCTGCCACCCTGGCTTCTTTTTCCACAACATCTTCATCCCGCTTTCCTCCTCTAAATAAAAAATATCTGATGGAGGAGACTCGTCCACGACCTCAGACACAAAACTCTCCTCCTCTTGCATGTTTCCTCTGTCCATAGCGTTCCTTGACAGTGTCGTTTCTAAGTCACCAATTTAGTGCTACTTGGTCCCAATGGGAAATTCCATTGGGACCAAGTAGCACTAAATTGGTGACCTACTAGCACTAAGTTGCTAACTGGTTAGCAAGATGCTCCCAATAAACCGGCCACAACCAAACTTGCTTGAGATCTTCCGCCACAACAATCCCACCCCCTTGAAAAACGACCAATCACATTCACTTTATTCACTCGTGTAAAGTCTTGCACCACTCGGGAGAATTCAGAAACAACAGTTGGAACAGCCGCTTCCCGAAGACTTTAAAGAAGTTGTCCGGTCATATTTAGTATTCAAACTTCTGAAAGTACTTTAAATATGAAATTATTATATACTGATCAATAAGTGTTTTCATTGAAAGTAATTTCATTTTAATGTGCTTTACTGGAGGCATCCATGTTTGTCAAAGAACACTACTGCCACCTACTGGTTTGTGACGTCACGGTGCGGTATCGTCTGTTGATCAAGTCCCAGTGCTGTATCTGGTGTTTGTCACAATGCGCTATTATCCAAGTCATCTTGAAAACATTCTTCTTCCAAATGTTGGCTACATATTACGTGTTTTTTCTCTGACCAGAAGTTCGCTGGCAAATCCTTTGCTTCAAGTTGGCGATCCAACGACAAACCCGTCTGTGGAGGATCAGGAATCAGAAAATTGAAATACTTACCCGATGTATTCCAACATCCAGCTGCCATGCACGTGGGCATTGTCAGTTTCACTATAGCTCTGGTGAATTTCAATGGTGAAGTCCTCTGGAAATCTTCAATAATTGTTGTTGATTGCAGATGTGTCTAGTAGTTCCCATTGATTCTGCTTGTAAAGCGGGGAGAATGGCGCTAGGCTTACTGCACTGTGATGTCACTGCTGGAAGATGTCAGGAGTGAGGTGTTACTATATTTTGGCAAAAATGGCCACTCCCAGACTCTGTGATCACAACAAAAAGTTTTATTTTTGTTTTTTTTACTGATTAACGCTAAATTCATTAAATCACTGTGAACGGATTCATTTTAGGTATAAATGATTCATTGATTCATCTTTTCTGCTGGGTGGACTTTTCTTTAAAAAAAAAAAAAAAAAAAGTTTATTCTTGAAAGTTGTCGTAACATTGGTTTCTGTTACTTTAATCACATAAATGGAGGAAGAAAAAAGCCCCATCGCCTCAAAAACCAGCAGCAGATATCAAAGATTTAACAATTTAACAATTGGCCTAATGAAATAATCTGCACCCGCCTTAGACACTTTTTATCAGTCGATGTCTGATCGGCATGTTGTCCAAAATTCCACTATGTTGCGTCTCATGTTTGTCCTTTTTTTTCATTTTCCAAACCAAATTGTAGGATTTTGCTTATAGAAGCATAGAAAAGAGGTGCGAGTCAGTATGAAACCTGGTGATTCGCCTGCTTCTGGGGCAGCCTGTCCATGTCCAATAATCTGTTTGTTGTGGTTCTGCTCGTCCTGCTTTAGAACTTGAACGATCTCCTCAGGATTTAAGTTTTGCTTCTTTGTTCTTGTCTGAGCAGAAAGGCGCCATCATCGCCTCCAACAAGGTGTCCAGCTCCGTCTTCTCCGTCTCCTTCTCCAAGGACAGCAGCTACTTCGTCACAGCAGGAAACCGACACATCAAGTTCTGGAACCTGGACGCCTCTAAAGAGCAGCGGGTCAGCTGACCTCGCCGCGGCAGATCGCAGCTCGGAGATCGCGCCCTGCAGCAGACTTTGCTTTAACCCTTTCCTGTCTGTCATCAGGTGAACAGCACTGTGCCACTGATTGGCCGCTCAGGGTTGCTAGGTGACTATCAGAACAGCGTGTTCTGTGGAGTGGCATGTGGGCGGGGCCTAACGGCAAACAACACCTACTTCGTCACCACATCTGGAGTTCTGTGTCTGTTTAACAGCAGCCGGCAGCTGGAGGCCTGGGTCGATCTAAAGGTAAGAACCCGGACGGTTAGGACCAACTTCTCTGGACCAGAACCGTCACTAGAACTTTTGGAGCTCCTGTTTATTTTTTTCTTCTTCTGCTCCAACAGACGTCGGTGGCAAGCAGCCTGGCGGTCAGTGAGGACTTTGTCTTCTGCGGCTGCGGGAACGGAGTTATCAGAGTTTTCCGCCCGGCTGACCTGCAGTACATCGGGACGCTGCCGCAGCCGCACCGGCTGGGCGTGGACCTGACCCGGAGCGCGCAGCACAGGTCCGACCTGCGCAGACCCTCTGGCTGACCTCAGGCTCCGATCCGTCCTGAATCTCACAGCCTGTTCTCCTTCAGCAGCCCCCGTCCCGCCGACCCTGGGGCCCCGCATCCCGACACGCTGGCTCTGAGCTTCGACCCCAGAGGCCAGCGCCTCGCCTGCGTCTACACCGACCACAGCGTCTACGTGTGGGACGTGCGAGACGTGAAGAATGCCAAGAGGCTCTACTCGGCTCTGTATCACAGCAGCTGCGTGTGGAACATCCAGGTCAGTACGGGACGTTCTCAGAGCCTCATCCAGGGATGGAGGGAGAAGAAGAACGATGCTGTTTTCCAGATTGTCCTCTGATGGACAATAAATGCAGGTTTTCATGTGCATTTCTTTAGACCAGAGGTCACAGATTAGCGGATCAGGGTCTGGATCCGGACCCAACCTGCTTTAAAACATTTATAAATTACCCCATGTTGTCCGACGGCATTGTCTAACATCACTTACGCCGCTTCTCATGTTATCATGGTAAAGCCCTCCAGAGCATCCGGGACCGGACTACATGTGATACTAATTATCCAATGAGCTGCTGTCAGTCTGGGTTGCTGCTGCTGCTACTTTTAGACACAGCAGGAAAACCTGTGGTAAGCCGGGCAATGGGAAAGAAGGAGAAGATGATGAGAAAAAGAGCAGAGAAAGTGTGGACTGCTAGAAGAACTGCAGTGAACTGGTGACTAGGGTTGTCACAATACTAAACTTTTCAACTCGATACCGATACTAAGTAAAATATTCGATACTCAATGTCATTTTCGATACAAGGATAAAAACAAAGACTCCAAAATTCAACAGAATTTTTTTCATTAATAAACACAATACAATAAATACATAAATAAATACAATAAACAATATTTTGAGGTTGTATGCTGTGCACAATATTAAGCAAGCTTGATAAAAAAAATTTACAAAATTAAAATGAAGTGTTCCTTCCTTGGCTATGCTTTACACACATAACAATGACACTCGCCAACCCGGTTAAAAAACAAAAATAATTCTCAGCAGCTGCACCTGTTACAGAAAAAAGTCTGAAACCGAAAAGAGCACAGAATTATTCAATCACACAGTGTTCAGAAAGTGCATTGTCCTCTATTCTGCACTTTAGATGAATGACTGCTTAGGTGCCACTGGTGGTGGCACTGTATCGATACTTTTGGAAATGAGTATTGTATCCGGATACAAATTATACTCTTTATATACTTTTTTTGAGTATCGATACTTTTGACAACCCTACTGGTGACAGAAAAGTGAAATGGCACGCTCAAAGATGACCCTGCACATCTTGAGTATGTTTGGCTTAACCTGCTGCTGTGAAGCAGGATTCTCCACCATGAACAGAATCCAAAATAAATATGGATCCAGGCTCAAAATGAGCACTATGATGTGTGATTTAGAATGGCTTTGTCTCCATTCAAACCCAGGTTTAAAGCCTTGCAGGGCAGCATAAAGCCCACTGCTCTCATTAAGCCATGAAAAGAAAAAACAATTGTGTATATGCCAAACTGAAAGATGGTTATCTACTTAAAAAACACTTAAGATGGAAAATGCTTTTTTTATTTTATTTTAATTTTTTAATCTATTTTCTATTTTAAAAAGTCAATGTATAACTGGGAAGAATAAACACCTCATTTTATTCCAGTGTTAAATTCTGTTTAAAGTAACAGATTAGAATTAAAACTCCGGACCTTTATTGGTTGTTGATTTTCTTTATTCTTTTTTTTTTTTTTTTTACAGTGTCCTGTCTGGCAATGTGGCAATAAGAATAATTGTCTTGATGCCAAAAAGAGCCCAACAGATTTTACTTTCA